GTGAGCTCTGAGCTGTGGGTATTGATGCTCATCAAAAAATACCTTGAAGTTGGGAAATCAGTCCTGAGAGATGGAAAACTGACTTAATTGTAGTGGTCTTAAATAAAACTTATGATTCTCTGACAGAACATGCATTTTTATTAACTTTTTAATAAAATTAGATGCAAAGAAATTATCATTGTGATTTTTTTTTTTTTTTTCCTAGCTGAGACAAATACCTAGCAGTCTCCACCACCCTGTGTAGAGGGCAGGGGCGTGGGAACATGGCACAGAGCATCCTTCTCCGAGTTGCATTTGTGTCTGGATGCAGGTGCCTGGGAGCATTCCTGGAAGGGGCACCATGAAAGGACTGCGCTGCCAATTGCAACAAGGAGAATCCTGGATGTCAAGTGCAAATCTTCTTCTGTGGGGGGAGGAATATGGGAAGTGAATGTGAGTGACCTAACTCACTTAACTTGGTGTCTTCTTAATTTAGCTTAATAAAATCTTCTAGTTAGAAACAAGGACTTTACATTAAAAGTTAAGCAAGGAAACACGGATGAAAATAAATTGCAGGAAGATGCGATCATTTAATTTGAGGTACTTAATACCTTGTTGTACCTTAGTTCTTCTAGCTGCGAAAAATTGCAATCTTTTGTGTAAGGTTTTATTCAGTGCAGAAACTCATTTATCACTTTGATGTTAATTGATCTGTGCTAAATATACATGCTGAACTATCCACACCCAGAAGCTTTATGAAGCTTTTAGTTGCTGGGGCAGTGTATCAGTCCTCACTCCTTTTGGGCTACTGAAACAGGCATTTCACAGAACTGTCTAGGTTGGAAAGGACCTTGAAGATCATCCAGTCTAACCGTTAACCCACCACTGACAGTTCCCAACTACACCATGTCCTTAAGTGCTAAGTCTACCCAACTCTTCAACCCCTCCAGGGATGGGGACTCTACCACCTCCCTGGGCAGCCCATTCCAACACCAAACAACCTGTTCTGGAGAGAAATGCTTCCTAATATCCAGTCTAAACCTTCCCTGGTGCAACTTTAGGCCATTTCCTCTTGTCCTATTGCTTATTACTTGGCTCAAGAGACTCATCCCCCCTCTCTGCACCCTCCTGTCAGGGAGCTGTAGAGGGTGATGAGGGCTCCACTCAGCCTCCTCTTCTCCAGACTAAACCTCCCCAGTTCCCTCAGCCGCTCCCCATCAGACCTGTGCTCCAGACCCTGCACCAGCTCTGTTGCCCTTCTCTGGACACGCTCGAGTCATTCAATGGCCTTTTTGGGGTGAAGGGCCCAAAACTGAACCCACTCATTGAGGGGCGGCCTCACCAGTGCCGAGCACAGGGCTCAGATCCCTTCCCTGTCCCTGCTGGCCACACTATTGCTGACGCAAGCCAGGATGCCATTGGCCTTCTTGGCCCCCTGGGCACACTGCTGGCTCCTGTTCAGCCAGCTGTCAATCAACATCTCCAGGTCCCTCTCTGACTGGCAGCTCTCCAGCCACTCCTCCCCAAGCCTGTTACCAGTTACCAGCCTTGCTACCAGATAGTCCTTAAGTAGGTACAGATGGGCACTGTGGCCATGGGCAGGTTAGTCCTTGCATTGGCCTTATGGAGAGGAGGAGAAAATACAGATATCTTCCTTGGTCACTCTTGGTCTGAAGGAGTTAGAAAAGCCACAAATCCATTTTTTAAGTTTTCACCTGAGACAAGGCAATTTTGAAAATGAGCATGTTTGTATTCCTGTTCCTAGGCAGGGGTCTGTGTGCCAGGCTTTTGACTATAGCAGATCTGAGCATGGTGGGTGCTTGGCTAAGAGACCAGCAGGAGCTGGAGGAGGTTCAGCAGGCACTTGGCATGTAGCAGTGCTGCAGCCTGCATGCAGGTGGGAGATGAGTGCCATCCTCCGGATCCTGTGGGGGGATCCCGGCTTCATTCTGCGAGGTAGAAGATTTTGTACCACACTGTTGTAAAAGTAGGAGCCTTGATCTGTATATACAAATGAGAAATCAATCGAGGAAGGGATTTACAGGACAATGAAGGCTGGGGCGTGCAGTTCTGGAACACTGAACTGGCATGCATGGAAATGGGAGGGATAGGATTACCCAACAGTCCCAATAAAAACTCCTGATCACAAGCTCTTTTACAATGATGCTTGCAATGTTTGGTGTCTGAGCAGCTTGTTTTAAAACTACATAAGCATGAAATATAGATAACCTGTAGCTATTGTCAGAGAAAGTTACAGTGGGAACTGTACATAGACTGTAGTGCTTTACTTGGCTTTGTATAATGGTTATAAAATCTCTGGTTTTGCCAGTAATTCTCCATGATGCACAAAATCCTCAATAAAGATTGTCTTATCACTGTCTGACACTTCCCCAGCATCTGTCACTATACAAACACAGACTATTAACAGTTTTATCCTTCTGAGTAAGAAAACTTTATGCATCCTCAATTAAACCATTAACACAAAATTAACCAGACTAAATATACCAGTAATTTATTGCTCATCACTTTATGATCTGGCATAAAGCTGGAATGTTTTAGATGATACTTGTGCTTGATTCCGCAGAGCAGGCATTGTCCTTTGTGTTACTTGAAAACCCAGTCCTGTTCCCACTCCTGTTAAAGGAGAATGGGTGTTGGATATCCCCAAAACAGGGGGGAGTTCACTGGTTGTTGGAGTTAAAGTCAGTGGAGGGGCTTGTTTTGTGTCTTTGGCTTCTTTTGGAACAGTTGAGGTGACTGTGCTTTTGTGGTTTTGATCACTTCTACTAAATTGTATCATATCAGAGTGGTTTGGGCTGGAAGGGACCTTAAAGATCATCCAGTTCCACCCGCCCTGCCATGGGCAGGGACACCTTCCCCCAGCCCAGGTTGCCCAGAGCCCCGTCCAACCTGGCCTTGAACCCTTCCAGGGAGGGGGCAGCCACAGCTTCTCTGGACAATCTGTGAAAGGGCCTCGCCAGTCCAAGTGAAGAATTTCTTCCTGATACCTAATCTAAATCTCCCCTCTTTCAGTTTAAAACTGTTACCCCTTGTCTGATCCCTACAGCCTCTGATCAGGAGTCCCTCCCCACCTTTCCTGTAGCCTCTCTAAGTACTGGAAGGCCACTTTAAGGTCTCCCCGGCACATTCTCTTCTCGAGGCTGAACAGCCCAACTCTCTCAGCCTGTCCTCACAGGGGGTGCTCCAGCCCCCTGAGCATCTTTGTGGCCTCCACTGGACCCACTCGAGCAGGTCTGTGTCCTTATGTTTGGGGCCCCAGAGCTGGACCCAGCACTGCATTACAAATCAACCTGAGCTACTTTGCATGGTTGGCAATGTTAGCTGTACCTTCCAAAGTACTTTTTAATTCTGTAATGCATTAATGTAATTTGAAAGTAATCAAATACAGCATATTCATAACCAGTTGTAGAAATGAAGGTATATGTAGGGCTTCTGGATGCCAGGATGTTATCTTGAAGGACTGTAAAGCTTCTCAAGATGACATCTGACAAAATACGCAGAGTGCCTGCAGCCTTAATCTGCTTTTAGGAGAGGAGCTACTTTGTGTGTCTTGCAGGAACATACTTATCATGTCACAAAGTTATCATCCCTCTAGTAGGGGAGATAAGGGAAGCCGACTGCTGTCAGGGTTTCCTACTCCCCTCTAAAAAAATCTGCGAAGGTTTGAAATAATGTCTTTTAGAGATTTAAAGCCTTTATTTGCCACTATTCCTGGTGCATGTGACTGAGCTGTGGCGAGGACCAGGATGTTGATTTGTATGTAGCAGAGCTAATCCTGTGTCTTGTTAACTGTTTTCTGCTGTGAGGCTCACAGAGATGAGAGCACTGAAGAAATGAACTGTGCATGTGGCTGAGTTCAGAAACCAAGAGTAAGGCTGGTAAGACAGAAGCTTGTGTCCAAGCTGGTGTATTATATGACCAAGACTGCTGTGCAGTGAACAGGTGTGTTTGTGTCAGGAGGAGGTGTAGAAATGCCACGAAGGGAAGCTGTGCTCGTGCCTTACTCCATGTGATCCCTTGTGTTTGTTTGTCAGCTGGCACTGCTCAGGGCTTGGTGTACCAGTCTTGCCCATGCCGCAGCTCCTGCCAGAACTTTTAGCCACAGATGGGCAAGATTATATGTAAATCTAGTTTGTGTTCACTGTCAGTGTTTCGGGCACGGGTGTGCACGCGTAGTCTGTCAGGGTGTCTCGGGAGGAGGCAGCTGTTGACCAGCTGGCTGCATACCTGTACGGGTGGGGGATGCTGGGCGCTGCCGAAGGAGCTGGAGAAGCCTGGCTGTGCGGCGAGTTGGACCAGTCCTCCTGCCATCCCCGTGGGTGTGGGACTATGTTGGTGCTGTCATGGGTGGGCTCCTTTGGCAAGAGCAGGCACTGTACAAGTGCTTACGAGCAGTAAATTGCTCAAACCAATCTAAGCGATCATAGCTCTTTTTTCATTTCTATCAGTAGAGACTGTTGTATGGACAGTACCTTGTGGTAGGAGTAATAGGAAACATGCACACAGTTTGTTTATATACAAATATTTCTAGTTATTTACAAATATGTGTGTTACACAGCATTAAGTAGCAAAGCTGAAGAAACATTTGTCTTGCTTTGTATTTGAATGAACTGCTTCTCCCAGCCGCTGCACAGGAGTTCAGCTGGCTGGTGGGGACCTGCCACAGCATTGTAACCTCATCTGACAGGGGCTGCACAGACAGCTGTGCCTTGATGTATTTGAGGTGTTGGTGAACAAAGATGTTTTTAAGCTTGTATATTGAAGCCTGCTGTTTGTAGCATAGTCTCTGGTCTGTGGTGTGTTACAAGTGACTGGACTACCAGTCCCTGAGTTGCTTTCGATTTGCATCCTTTGTGTGACGGGCAACGGACAGTTGGCATCTGGCCACCTTTAACCAGTTTTGTTGAATGGGGCAAACACAAGTGTTAGGCAACTTTATCTAGGAAGAAAAGTGGACAACAAACAATAGAACATGCTAAATATTTCTCTGTGCTGAGTGGCATTTGGTATAAAATATGAATGGCTGTTTTGGGAATAAATCTCACAAATCCTACTCTTTTCTTTGTTGTTCAGCTGCTCTTCAGGCCCTAAAGCGTAAGAAGAGGTATGAGAAGCAGCTTGCACAGATAGATGGCACGTTATCAACAATTGAATTTCAGAGGGAAGCCCTTGAGAATGCCAACACTAACACTGAAGTGCTGAAGAATATGGGTTTTGCTGCTAAAGCTATGAAAGCTGCGCATGACAATATGTAAGTTATTCCCTTCTGCCTCTTTCTGTAGGACCTTTAGTTTATCATTTGTTTGATCTGCTAAATGCCAGTTGTTTAATAACCAAAGGTAGAGCTAGAGTAGCAAAATCGTCTTTTAAAAGTCTCTAATTTAAATTAAAATACTAGATATACTTCCATATTGAACAAAATATGTATCAATGCTTTCTCAGTTTGCCACCATTTTATAAGGCACAAACCTGCTGCCTTTGTCCAACAGAAGGCACACAACAGTGTAGTCTAAAGCACATGGGAGGATGCACCAGTTACAGATTCTAGTAGCAGCAAGAATTTTAAGCCACCAGGGGAGACTTAAACTTCTTTCTGTGCCGTGGAGTTTGTGTATGTAGCAGTAATTAAAGGTAAATTGTGTTATGGGAATGTTTTACTTGCCCCAAAAGCAAATATTGTAGATATAATATTGCTGGATCAGGGAACAGAGCAAATTTTTATTAATACTAGTAATGCAGAACAAAACTTTCTCATATGAAGTCTCTGCATGTAACTGCTGTGAGCTAAGCTTTTAGGGAAGTAAAAAATACACACACCGTTTTGTTGAGACCAGGGGGATAAAATTCAGACTTGCATGCAAAGTATATTTTGGGGAATAACCTCTTAAATGTCACTATGGTGTGGCATTTCTACAGAACCCAAGAAATACAGTCTTAAGTGTTGATTAGGAAAGTGCCTGATTGTATTGAACTTCTTCCTTTCTTTTACAGGGATATTGATAAAGTAGACGAATTAATGCAAGACATTGCAGAACAGCAAGAGCTGGCAGATGAGATTTCAACAGCCATCTCAAAGCCAGTAGGATTTGGGGAAGAATTTGATGAGGTATGTTTTAAATTTGCTTCTGTTTATATCCTAGAATCATTTAGGCTGGAAAAGACCCATAAGATCATTGAGTCTAACTGTTAACCTAACACTGCCAAGTCCACAAGTAAACCATGTCCTTAAGTACCACATCTACACTTCTTTTAAATACCTCCTGGGATGGTGACTAATAGGAGATCTTTCTTCTAAAATCTGCATATTGCCTGTGTCTAGGCATAGTACTAGGATATAAAATCTCCCCTAGAACTTGTTTCTAGCTGTTCCTATCAGTGCATACAGCAGCTGTGATCCTGACTTTATGCTGAGAATGGTTTAGATGCCCTGATCTGAGATGTTTGGACTCAGATTTCTTCTCTTCCCTGCTTTCCTCTCCCCAGCTTCCAAGAGATCATGTACAGGAATTCAGATGAAGAATTACACTCCTGATCTTCTCAGTTTGCTCTGATCATGTGTGTTTAAACTATTTTCTTTAATAATATGACCAGCTAAATCTGCTTGCTAATAAATATGACTTAAAGTTTATTCCTTTTTTTTTTCCCTTCCTTCTTTAAAAACCTAGGATGAACTCATGGCAGAACTAGAGGAACTAGAACAAGAAGAACTAGACAAAAACTTGCTGGAAATAAGTGGTCCCGAGACAGTACCACTACCAAATGTGCCCTCAATATCAATACCATCAAAGCCAGGTATGTATGGATCTTTACCAGAAACATTCAGAAAAAGTATGCTTATTTAACTGCCAGCTCCTCAGATTTGAGAGATCTAGCTGCAGGTGACACAGACATTTTGCTTGAAATTGCTTCATGAATCACAAATTACATCTAGTGCCATTTCTCTGTGGGGGTAACCTGCCTTTCATAAGAACCATGAAAATTAATAGCTATCATGGGAACTGTTACTGTCTATTCTAGTGCTACCAGTTTATGTGCAGGATGGGTGGTGCTCAGGGTAGAGTGGATATGTGGAGAGAGGAAGCCTTCTACCAGTTGCTGCTGGCCTAACAGGAGAGTAATCTTGACAAACATACAAGGCTGTAAAAGGGAGTGGAGAGTAAATTAGCTCTTAGAATTAGTCCCAGGCTGGTTCAGATTCCCATGCTGAACCATGCTTCCTTGCTGCTGCTTTATTTTTTAATTCGATCCCTGCTTTCCTGGCTTTTGGGCAGAACTATCATGAGTCCCCTCTTTGGGGACAGCTGGTGCCTCCTCTGAGGTTGGCACGTACTCAAGCCAGACAGTACCAGACTTAGGGTCACTCCAGTTTTAGAGCACTAGGAAATTTTAGTTAGTGTGATGATTTTACATGTAGAATGGACAAGAAATATCCATATTTATACAGAGAGTTCAAAGCTGCTGTTAAATCTGAACTGATCGCTCTTCTATCAACTAGAAGTGATACCTCATGAAATACTGTTGAGTTGGAATACCTCTGGCATGCATTAATGGAATATGAAACTTTATTAGCCAATTTTGCTGAATTTGCCTTAATGTATTATGAATAAATTTTAGATTTTTCAGCTCTATTTCACGTGCTTACTGAGGAAAAAAAGGTTCAAAAAACTAGTGGATGAAAACAGTCCCAGTTGGTCAGTGTATCTGCAATCATCTTGCTGCCTTGCCAGGCTTGAAAGGACCTGGGAAGCAGCTGACACTGCCAAACAACAAGGTTCTGCTTTAAGTGGCACACTGTGAAGTTGGCTCCTTGTGCATTATAATTCTTTTATTTTGACATAATTGATTTTGTGTTTTTCTAGTTGTGTTTTGCTAGACAGAATTACTGACAAGTGTTGAGATGAGAGCAGTGAGTTACATCAAAATATCTCAAATCAGAGACTATCTAGATTCAGATCTGACAGCAGGAGAAATAGATTAAATAAACATGTGCATTACCATTTTATTTCCTAGCTAGTTTAATGAGGTAAATACTATTTGGGTATGGACATTAAAACATACTGACTCGAAACTAATACACTTTTTGCATTATATTAGGTAGTAGTGACTGCATTAATAAGAGGCACTGTAATTGTGCATATACTTAAGTAACTATACAGCAAAAGACTTATGCAGACATAGAACTTCCTAAAATAATAAAAATTATGAATGTTTTTGTAGTGAAGGCTGAGTATAGAGCAGTGTTTTATAGGATTCATGTTAAGTTGCTTTTGGATGGAAATTAAAATTCCATTAACGTTTCTAAATGGCTTGCTACTTTTTACTTAAATAAAACTGCCTCCAAGACCAGCATTTGGGAAACCTTGGGATTCTGGGGTGGTGGTGGGTGGGGATTTTGTGTGGTTGGTTTGTTCTTTTTTTCAATGTAAATTGGTTTTCATTTAAAATTGACTTAATATACACTGGGATTAAAAGTTTACTTCTGGTCATCATGGGTTGGATTCTCAAAGAGACTACACCTAACAACTCAGGGACATGCCTAATGTGTTTTCTGGAAAGAAGTAATGTGTCTTCTGAGGTGGAACTGACTATTACCTCCTTTTTATTCATTGAATGGAAAATGATCATGAGCTTTCTTGCTTTTCCAGTTCTCAGGAGCTGTCTGGATTTTGACTTAATCAGTCTGAATGAGAAATTTTTTGCTGTTGCCTGTCAGCTGAGTTGATGTCAGAAGACATTTGGGCAAAAGCTGTTTTTGTTTAATGGAGACTAGAAGCGCTTAATATAGAAAAACAAATTCTAGACTTGTACAAATGATAGCTCTTGAGTTTGACTTAAAGCTGACTCAATTCTCTCTTACATAAATGTTTCCTTTGGAATGACACAAACCATTTTGAGTATGAGTTATTTGACTCTTTTTTTCCCCCTTTGAAGCAAAAACACTCTCTGAGGAAATGACATATTTTTTTTGTATTTTCCAAAATTATTACAGCAATTTCTGGGTTAAAACCTTTTTGCTGAGTTAATGGTTTTCATCTCCAGCAACTGGACTTGTCACGTTATGACAAATAGCAGCATTTGCCCCCTGGAAGGACCAGTAATGATAACAAGGCATGTCCAGCCAGCTACTAGTGAGCGCAGCAAGAGGAGGGGGTAACTAGCACGTACGCAGAGCTAGTTAGCTCTTCAGCCCCTTGGAGAGCTTGAACTGGCACAAGAGTTGGGGGGTTCCAAATTCGGTATCTGGCTAGACTGAAACACAGTGGCCTCATTTGTTATACTTTGAGGACTTAATGACGGAATAAGGAAATTACGTTTTTATGGGAGAAAGACATCTCTTCTACTGGAGATGTCAGACAAATTTCTGCAAGAAACTTTATCCCTCTGAGAGAGACTCAGAAGCTGAAGGCTTGGGGTCTTCTGAAAACTTGGTGGTTATGGGAGACAACAGACACCACTGGACCACAAGTCTGAACTTCCGTGCATGTTTGCATTCTTCGCATGTGAGCTATTGTCTTTTTCCACTTAAAGTGGTAGTGACAGAAAGTTTAGCCTATACTGGCTTTTTCAAAAGGCATCTTTTACTTCAGAAAGGGCTTGTGTATTTTTATTCCTCTACTGCCATTTGGTGCTTCGTTTCTTAGTTAGGTCAGAGGCTTCTCTCCTGCAAAGAATCGAGACAGAGTTCTGTCAGGATTCCTACTCATTTGACTTCTGTTAATATTTTGCAGCCAAGAAGAAAGAGGAAGAAGAGGATGATGACATGAAAGAGCTGGAAGCTTGGGCAGGAACCATGTAACCACAGCAGTACCTGGCTGGAAAAAGACTTTGATTACCTATTCTGGGTGCAAATGTGTTGTGTTGAGGAGAAAGCATAAGCAAAATGTCTTTATCTTTAATTTTAACCCAAAGCAGTGGGAACTGCATTGCTGTTTTCTGCATAGCATGGTCTGCACAGAGGAAAGAAAGGGGAGCAGGGGGAATTGCCTGCAGTTTATACGGTTGAATTTCTGTAAAAAGGTATTTGCAAAATCAAACATTCAGCTTTTGGACTGTGCTACTGCCACTGCTGGATCTTCATCTTCAAAGTTTGGGCCATATTGAATTGAAATAAGCTGAAAAACACTCTGTGATTTAAGTCAGTTTAAATGTGTCTAGAAGTCTTGTAAGGCATTTAAAAACCAGGAAAAGTCGTAAGCCACCATCGGCTTCTTACTGTGTTTAGGTGCAAGAATGCTTTAGGTTTTTAGTTCTTTGCAAGTTATATTTATATCCCTTGACTGATGTGTGGCCAGCCTTGTGTTTGTCACCGCAACAACGTAGTCACTATTCCCATTTTAATTGGTGATAATGATTTGCAATTGACAAATGCTATCTTGGAAGTAGGGAAGATTTAAATTTCAGTTGTACATTTTTCTACATAGCACTACAATGTTTATTGCTTTTTTGTGATAATTGATAACCCATTCAGATACATGCACACAATTATTTTAATTAAGAAACTACTATGGATTGCACTGTATTAAATATCTTGATTAATTTTCATCTATGGCTACTGTTGTTGGTTCTTTGTGATGTTTAATTTGGCTATAACAACATGCAGTTTGGCCTCTTTCTGCATGAGTGATATGAACTCTAAAGCTAGCTGAACTTGGTTGTATGGCTGTAGCTTAGTTGTATAAAACTACAGTCTTAGCTAAGCAAAATTGCTGGAGGGCTGCTATAGCTGTTTTCTTATTGTTAATAATATTCTGGTGCACCATGTCAAAATCCCCACACTAAGGAGAAATCAAAGATGAATTCATAGTGGAAGTGACAGGTTTAGGAACAGAGCTGGGAGCCTTGGCTTTATTTTTTTTGTCATAGAAATTATATCTGTTATGCACTGTGCTAACAAGTACTGTATTTTAAAGCAGTGGTATTACAGGAGTTATGGTGAGCATCTCAAGTGCAGTGAAGTGTCTTAATAAAAGTGTTCAGGTGTAGCTGGGAGAGGGAGAAGAAATCCCATAAGCACCATTAATGCTTTTAAGGTTACTGATGTGGAAGCTCAGAAACTGTGTCAGAGGCACCAACTGGCAACCCGGCTGTTTCCTGGGTTATGTTTTCTTTCCTGTTCATTTAGCCAATTGCTTTAACTACAGGAAGAGCCTCGTCTGCACAGCAAGAAGAAAATGCAATAATGAGTGGCACATGATTCCTGTTTACTTTTAGCCAGACAGCTAGGACAATCTGTTTTCTTACAACCTATCTTTTCTTATTTTAATAAATGGTGGGATGGTTTCTTAATCCTACAATTTATGAATATGTTTGAGGACTGATCACCTTTCTGCTTTCACTATTGCTAAATTCCTTGATATATTGCTTAATATCAGTGAATAGCTAAAATGCATAGGCTAAAACATTTTTCTGCCTTGCTCAGACTCATTCTGTGGGCAGAACTTACCTGTGAAGAGCACCAAGATGCAATGTAAAAGGAAGCAGCTATCAGCTGCCAGCAGGCTTTCTGCAGCTGTACACTCAGTGCCCAGGGTTTCTCCATCCTAGGAAAGGCAGTCTAGTTCCTGCTGGGAACATTCTCAATTAACTTGCCCTCATCAGGCAGCTTAATTTGCAGCTGCATCAGTGTTTTCCTGTAGAGCTGCTGTTAGGTGTTAAAGGAGGCAAGCAGAAAACTGGGATCTGGGTATTTTCAGTTTGTGGTTAACGCTTGTTTTTTCCTGTAGGGAAGGTGAGAAGCATTGAGTGTCACCTGGGTGTATGGGACTGACACATTTAAAGCGGGGCAAGAGTACAGTCTGGGCTGATGGACCTCGTTGCTGCTTTACCCTTTCAACACTTTCAGCCCCTTACAGAAGGGATGGCTGTTGTCTCTGCTGTGCAGGTGGGGATACCAGGACATCGCCTTTGTACTTGGGCCCTAGGGAAGCACAGCGCTTTCACCAGGAGTGACAAGGAAACATTTTGTATTAATGCTGTGTGTTTGGGTTGGGGGAGTCAGGAGAGAGATCGCTGCATGGTGACTGCTTAGAGGCTCAGGATTTCACTCACACCACGTACCTGCTTTTGTGGCCTTTAGAACAGGGCAAACACGCAAAGAGCACTTGAAAAGCTGGGCCAGAGAGTGGCAGAGGTGTCTTGGCTTTCAGTGCTGTCGGTTTTAAACCCTGGGGCTGGAGAGCACTTGTGTTGTGCAGCAGGTGGGGGCTGTTCTCTCCCAACAATAATGGAAATCCACAGCTCTGCCCAGTATTGCTTTCTATGAAATCATCTTCAGTGTTGTTGGATCTTTACAGACGTATAAATGGCTTTTCCGTGCACCTTTCCTGGTCTTCTCTCCAACAGATGCTTTTTCTGGGACTGTTTTAAGATACAGACATTTAACTGCGAGAACCTTCTGCGTGGTGTCAGATTGGCAGGAAATGAGAGGGGCTTCGTTAGCCACTGGGGTGGCAAATGACTCTCCAGTTGCTTAACTGATGAGTTGTAAGCAAATTTGCTTGTTAATTAATACATGTTAGTAACGGGCTCTCGGGAGGGGCTTTGTGGGATGTCCCTGGCATGAGCAGTAAGAGCTCCCTGAGAGCGTTTGGCCTTGTGCATGGGTGTGGGTGCAGGAGGAGCAAAGCAGCGGGGGGGGACAGGACAGGGGACACACACACCTGGGGAGTCGTGTGGGGGTGCTTGGGGAGTTGTGCAGGAGCACTTGGGGACGCAGCGTACCAGGAACCACCTGGGGTTGTGGTGTGGGGCAATGCACTTGATAAAATGTGTGATCTACTGTTTGGTACTTGAAGCGTTTGGGGGGCTGGTGTGACTTCTCCACAAAAAGTCATCGTCCCTTTGTCCTTGCCTTGCCTGCAGGGAATTGCTCCCCAGGAGGGGCTGTCGTGCCCTGGCTGCCTGTCCCTGACGGACCTGCTGGTGGCCAAAGGCTTTGCTGCTGGACATGCCACAACTGTTCTTGTGTTCATAGGTCTGCTCTTACTGCTTGGGGCTAAACGGCCTCCCTTGTGTCAGTGGGGAGAATAGCTCAGTGCTGCGGGAAGGAAGAGCTGTTTGTCTTCTCCACCTGCTTCAGTCCGAGCGTTTCACATCCAGCGTGCATGAAGCACAGTGCGTCGCATGGCAAAGCTGTGTTTGGGGAAGTCCCCAGCTCTGCACAGCTGCTGTCCTTGCCTGTGGGGTCAGGTGTGGCCTCACTGCCAGCCGCAGTGGCAGAAAAGGGGCTTATGGCCCTTGGGGAAAGAGAGCCTGGGAGCTGTTCCTGCAGCTGTGCCAGAGCATGGCTCTGCCCACACTCGGCAGCCAGTGGAGGTCAGTGGTCAAGTGCCTGCACAGGGCTGTAGTTCACTCCCACAGTGTGAGCAAGGCTGAACCTGCTCTGAGCACCCTTGGGGTGGCAGTGCGTTAGTGTGGTTGCTTCAGGGAGGGATGGAGATGTGACTGCTCTCTAACGGGCGTGGAGAACCTGTGTCCTCAGCTCAGGAAGGTGAATGTGGAATGTGGGAGTTAGGAGGCATTTTTCAAAGGGGCCGAGGTGCCATCTCGGCCGTATTTGTCAGCGCAGTGAAGGGAGGGAGCAGGAATGTCTTTCCAGCTCTTCAGGAGCTGCTGCACCCTGCGCACACACAGGGTGTGACATTTTTTATAGGAGTGGGAGCTCATGGCAGCCCTGGGGACTTCCTTTTCTCTGTCTGAAATGCTGGCTGCTGCCCCTGCCCAAGGCATCTCACCTCTGCCCATAGAGCTGGATCCCCCGCAGGACTTACTCCTGGTCTGGGGGACAGCTGACCTTATTTCATTGCCAAAGAAACCCTGCTGCCAGCTCTCACAGCAACTTGGCACAGTTCCCTGGCTCGGTCTTTGTCCCTGTGTTGTCTGATTTGAGTTACTGTCCAGTTGCTTCTGCCCCCGATTTTCCCAACCCTAAACTGACCCTCAAGCTCTGGACTCCTGTGCGTGTCTCACTGCTGGGCTCACCTGTGGGATGGGTGGGTGCCACCTGGCTGGGCCCCTCGGGAGCAGCCCGTGTGGGTGCTGTGAGACACACGCTGGGCTGGAGCTGGAGCTGGAGCGGGGAGCCCCTGTCTCACTTGCTCTGGACAGAGGTGGGGACTGCAACCATGTGTTTTGGCACTGAGGAACTGCTGTTCCCTGGGCAGCCTGGACCTGGAGGCTGTCCTGATCGGGGGAGGTTTCAATATGATCCCAAGAGCAAGATTAAGACAAAAATTAGGTCAAATGCCATACACCCAAACCAGTTTTTATTATTAAAAGTGAAGAGTGGTAGAGATGGGACAGAATGGAAGGAAAAGACAGAAATAAAGCAAACATCTGGAAGAGAGTGTCAAGAATAGTCACCACCATGGACCCAGCAGTGTCCTGTTGGTCCTCAGTCTTCAGTTCTTTGATGGTGGGTACACTCACAGCAAAGTTTTCTGTTGCCTTTTTAAGTTCATGGTATTAGCTGATTAACATATCTGCCCAGCTTTTGTTTTTCCTCTGGTCCCACAGGTTTTTGCTGACTTCATGCCTCTTGAGCAATCATCCAGCTTCTGGGGCAGAATTGCTGCCCCTTACCAGTCCATTAGCAATGCATGCACGGTGTCTGGTGTACACAGAGCCACACATGGCTACATGATGGAGCCACTAATAAACGGTTGGTTTCACTCAGCCCATGCCTATGTTGAGGCTTATCTAAGGAGTTCGACAATGCAACTGCAAGGGAGTGGGGGGTGCATCCTTTGATATACTCCTGCTCCTTGGGTGACATTACTTAGAGTAATCCAAAGCCCAAAACTTGTCCTTGAGGTTTGCACACATACAAGCAAGCTTTGAGACCATCATTTGACATTTCAGTCTCTCCCAAGGTCGCAGCCAGGGCTAAGCTGCTTGGGCTTCTCCCTTCTTTCTCCTCTTTTCTTCCTTGGACCTACCCTGCCTGCATCGCCTGTTAAACTCCACCACAGAAACCCCTTGGATGCTCCTGTGAGGCTGCAGCTCCTCCATCCCCAGGCACGGTCCCTGTGGCATGTCACCTCCCGGGGTCCCGAGGCCACCTCCATCATCTTGTGTACAGCTGGTGCATGATGAGTGTTTTACAGCACAGGGCATCCAAAAAGCAGAGTGGGTTGAAGAGCCCCACAGCTGCACCAGGGCTACCTGGCCGCGGGGTCTGGCCCTGGCAGCCCATCCCTCACAGCTCCCTGGGGTTGCTGGTGTCCCGGGAAGCACTGTGGGCTTCTCTGCACCTCTGCGGGTACCACCAGCATCTGACAGCCTGTTGGGTTACTATGACGATGTGGCTTCATCCCCAGAGATGCCATCACCTGTTGCAACTCACTCTAATCCCTTTGCAGACATATATTTAAATCTCAACCCTTTCATTAAAACCGATCAGCTTACTGAAGCTTCTGAATGCAGCATATTTATGAAATTAGCCTGTCTGTAAGAATGAGTTTCTTCTCGCTCAAGAGGTGTAATACCACTAATCGATATGATAGGTTAAACCCTTTTATTATGGCCCTTCTGTGAGGATCAGG